CCTGCTTTATAAATCATCAGCATAAGATTCCTGTCTGCACCCCAAGAACACCCAGCCAAACACCTCAAAATATTAATAACCTTTCCACATTTATTCACCATTCTACATACATGTCGTTTATACGTTAGCTTTTCATCTACCCAGACCCCAAGAAACTTGAAGACCCTGGCTCTCTCAAGAGGTTACCCATACAACTTAATCCCCAGACTGTCTATATTCCTCTTCCTGCCAAAAACCTTTGTTTTTTTTCAATGACAGCCTAAAACTCCACTTATCACTCCGAGCCTGCACCTTATTCAAAGTACACTGCATCTGTTTAAATAAGTACCCAGTATTACGGCCTCTTTTCCACATTGCTCCATCATCTGCAAACAAAGATCACTGAAATCCACTTCCTACCTCATCAAACATATTATTAACCATTACATTGAACAGAACTGGACTGATGACACTACCCTGCGGAGTCCCATTTTCTACGAACACAGAGTCAGAAAAGCTCCCTCCCTACTTCTGACATTTAAAACACCTCAAAGGTGGCCTTCTGTATGGCTGCACTTTAAATGACAAGCACCCTAGGAACACTCATTGTGGAAGGGCTCTTTCCTGAAAAGATAACACACAACACAGTTGATGATTCCCGCTTAGCTCCATCACGAAAGATTTTAATTCGTGTGGCCTCATCAACCTTCGCCCCCTCTATGCCCCTCACCAACTCAACCATGGAAACCTCCAGAGAAACCGCATAAATCACCCCTTTCAAGCCAGCCTTGCTCCCTGGAATAAATCCTTCCCTATCGCATCCAGTGAAACAACTCTGTTCAACTGAGCTGCAGACTTGCAAAATACAAGCAGTTTCCCATCAGCCAAAATTCTTGCACTCAGGATATCACCCAACTCTTCCTTCAGTGCCCTAGCAAGCCTAATTGGGTTGAGAGATCTAAAGCCAGACTGCCCTTCCTTCAACTTAAAAATCACGTTATACTCTTCCGACTGGCTACTGCTTCTTCTCATTACCTTTACCTGCTGATCTCTTCCTCCATCTGCCCCCACCATCATCCGTGTCCTGCATTGCAGGAACAAAGTCTTAATTATTGTAGGCTATTTACTGATATTCCAGCACTAGTTAGACTAAATTGGGTAACACCGCGTGTCAAACAATTTTGCTCCCGGTCTGCCTCCGTCACCTCGATGTAGTAAGTGAAGTTGGCCAGCTCATCCTCTCCGACTACGGAATGTAGTGTTTTATTTCTTTTTTGAAATGTTGTATTTGTGGTTGTAAGCTTTCTCTAAATCTAAGAAGACACCAATCACCACCTCTTTGTTCACTAGTGCTCTTCTAACTTCTCTTTGAAACAATGAAAAATACTTTCTCAGCTCTATGCACATGTCTACATAACCATTACTTTCATTATCTTACAGATTACATTACACTTAGCTGACGCTTTTATCCAAAGCGACTTACAGTTGCAAAACTTTACCACATCTACTTAAAACAGGGAAATGCTATGCTCACCTTCCATGGTGTAACGATCGATCCATTCCCCACAGCTCATTCTACTGATGTAAAAGTTAAATCTATGACATTTTCCCAAAACCAATCTGAAATCTTGTTGGTCTCACATCATTCAACATCACAAGTGAGTATCTATCCAGGAAATCCTCTATTATTTCACCCTTTTATCTTGTTTTTGCTGCCGTACAGAGAAAATGTGCATTAAAATCTCACCCCTGGAGACCTCACTTGGCTCATTACTGCATCTAACTTCTTCATTTCCAACTGAAGCCAATGGTTGTAAAAATAATTGAACACCTTCCTGTTGAACTCCATTCATCTATCTCCACACTCAAGATGTGATTCTACATTTAATCTCCTGTACTGGATACCACTGCACACCCGCCACCAGAAACATTTAAAACCTTCTTGATAGAAACATACTCCGATATAACAAAACTCATAGTTGGTTTTAGCCACGCCTCTTGTACACAAATTAACTCTGTTTTTCTCTAAAAGCATCCACAAATCTCTTTAACTCTTCCCCACTAGCCATTCCACTGGAGGATGAACACATTAATAATCTAACTACCATTATCATCATTATCATCGTCTGGAGGGCAGCTGGAGATCTCTCAGCAGCTTTTACCACACTTCTTACTACATCTGAGTTATTCTTGGACTGCTTCATGTCACACAGCACTTTAACAATGAAAGCCACTGAATCTCTTGATACACAGCCTACCAGAGGGCAGTCTTCCCTTTCTCTGCTCCTTATTTTATCTATCTCACCACATTTTGCAACCATTTGCTATATGACCAGACTACTTTCCTCCATCTTCATCCTGCATCGTAGGAGCAGTAACTTAAAACAGTGATGGCAGGTGGAATCATTAACTCCACTACACTTACCATTTTTAACCAGTTGAACCAGTCTCAAGTTATCGGCCTGTAAAGTACAGGAGTTCTTCGGTCATAGAATTATAGATGTTATTTGTTACGTGGTCGAATGGACAGAAATAGTGTTTTAAAGAAAAAAACTCCCAGTAAAAGTCAACATGTAAACAGTAAATACGGCCAAAACGTGGACACTGCCTGGGTATAATTTTATAAAATGTGTAATAAATGTTGTATTTTAGTTTCTTTTCATCAAATTTATAATTACAGTTGTTGACAATGTGTATTAGAAGATATTCATTTGCATTATTAATCTGCTGCATGAAGGTTTTGATGATATTATCTTAATATAATATAGATTTTATACGAGGCGAGGATGAAAATGAATCTCGTATTTTCCCTTATTGCATCTCCATTTACTCTGTAATAGTAACATCAATATGTTCATTTATCGATTAATATTCATTAGCTTAATTAGCAGAATTATATATGTAGGACTAATGGTTAAAAAGTTATTCCTGATTCATTTTGGTTATTTTAGATGTTTTTCCTGGAAATAGAGGCAAACTGCTGGTAGTTTCCAACAGGTTAATATTAATTTAAAGTTACATTTTACTTGATTTCTTATCAGTCATCTGCTTTACTGTAACCTATCTTTTTTTATTCTGTTATTTATTTTATTATGTATTTTGTTTATTTCCAGGAGTGTAATGTATATTGATGCCATGGAGACCTGTGTGTGTGCAGTATGCACCCCTGCAGATTTGAGTGGTGCACCCCAAACTGTCTCTGTGGTAAATTTCCTTTACATCAGCTCCATTAAATATTTATTATAAAAGAGTGTTTTATGTTATTATTTTAACTTAAGCGTCCAGTTTTTAAAAAAATGCACTTTTTTTAAACACTTTTTTAAATTGTGTTTTTCTTGAATTTGTTGAAAACATGTTGTATCTTAGTTTTCAGTTTAAGTGCAGTGTGTTTCTATTGAAGCTTTCTTGGAGTTGTAAGACCGGCTGTGATGGAGAACTGACCTTCATCCTGTGTTACCAGATAAACAGCGAGTTGAAGCCGAGGACCAAACAGACTCTCGGGTCACGATGAAGACCTCGGTGTCCTGATGCTTCTTCAGATGGTTTGGACTTGGTTTTCCTCGGTCCCTGATCTGCAGAGGAAGAACCACGAACTCTCTACTGCTTATATATTTTCTCTTCCTGTAACGTCCACGTGACAACGAGCACACAGTCTTGGTTGAACGACGGTTAAAGCTGATTTATCCCTTCTTAATCATTTCACTTCCTCTTTTTGTCTCTTTACATGATTTATTGCTCTGAAGCAGCTAAACGCTGTCACTCAGCTCATTTCACAATACTTTCAACATGCTTCCCTTTTTACTCTCATCCTCTGTATGTTTAACTCCTTTAATTCTTTTACTATCAAATAAGGATCTTAATTGTTATAAATGTTAAAACAATCCTATAATTAGTCCTTTTATAAACATTAATCAATCACAACATATATTCATCACAAACTCCACAAAGTCCATAATTAATCATGTTACAGCTCATAGTTATTAAGCTCAGGTGAAAAGTACCTTACAGTCTGATTGATCACTGATTTGAGACTTGAAACAAGAGCGTTGGGATCTCAGCTTATTTAACAACCTCTAACCTGCTGGATGTTCTTGTGTTGAACCCTTTTACTGGTATTTCCAGCCCAAATCCTGTCACTATGAAACACAAAATGTGAAAGTCTTTCCAGAAACTGTGAATAAACAGTATTTACATTTTTAAAAACGCAGATTCATTACATGAACACATAATTTACAGTCCAAATAACATTCAGTCTAAAACATTCTAAAATTAATTACATTTATCTCATTAAGAATCACTAATAATTACTAATAACAGTCCCATACTCAATTTGTTCTGTTTGAGGTTCAGCCAGAAGGAATTAAAGATTAGAAATTTGGTTAAAACAGTTAAAATGTCACACACATTGTGGTATTTTCATTATTGTGCACTAATTATCATGAGCTTCACAAGTTAATGCAAAAGTGTTGAATATGTTTTAAAATGTTAAACATCTTATAAAGGCTTAAAATCTGATCCCAGAGCAGTAAATAACTCAGATTTGTGACAGACAGCATTTTACCTCTGAGCTCTGCTCTCAGTGAAACTACACAGAATAAGACAGTGTGTGTGTTTAGACACTAGAGGGCGACACACTGTTGAGAGACCGAAACCACAACAAGCAAATCACTTTGAGAAACTACAACAGTCAATAATTAGAGTAAGAAATTTAGAAATTTTATTTCTAAATTGTATGTTGAACAAATATAGATTTTAATAACCTCTGATGAACAACAGCCAGTCAGAGGATCAGTGTGGAGGTTCCTGCTAAATATAACACTGCTGTCTGATTTTCCTGCTGATCCAAGTTTAAACAGTTTATTAAGCTTCAGAAGGAGGAGGATTTTCTCAGCCCATAAAGGAACTCTTCATCCTGCAGATTATCACTAACATTCAAAATCACTACATTTGGGGTTGAAAGACTGTAATCTGACAATAAACTGAGAGACAACCAGAGACAAGACAAATGTAAAGTATAAAGTTCACATCTGTGCATGTACTGCTGGATTTGAGATTTAAAGTGGACTGGAAAATGTATTACATCATACTGCTTCATCTCTACCAATCCAAGCTTTAAATACTTTAAAAATCACACATACAAACACACACACACACACACACACACACAGGCATGAATTATGACATGTGATTTTAGTCATGCGCATACCGAGTACGGTCCTACCACCAATAACTTTCACTTACACTTTTATAGAGCAGAAGTAATATTCTGTTTTCTTGGGCTTGACTATTAATGCCTCTGAATATTTTGGGCTGGGTCTCGGTAGGTTCTGTGCTCTTCTGCGCCATCAAGCGGCTGTTGTAAAAACAAAACCATCAAGCACAACAAAACTCGAGTTTCGCCTCTGCTTTTAAACTCTGGTGTGAGTCGGGGAAGCCAGAAGTCGTTAAGTGTCCCGTTTGTGGCGTTTCTGTGATGTTTAATCTTCAGATGATCCCCACAGCTATGATGAAGCTTCTTCCTCTCCTGTGTCTCTGTCTCCTGACTCGGCCTGGAAGAACATTTGTTGACAAACACGGTAAGAAAACTATTTCGCCTACTTATTCAGATCATATAAACAAAAAACCTTAAAATCATCCTCAACACGGGTGATTAATGTAATTAATTATAGCATCCTTGCGATTAATATAGGCTGTCAGTGCACAACACCTGCGCATTATTCTGATGTTCTGTTATTTTTGGGAGCAGGTGTTTCAGGCGTCTCCATCCTTCAGAGAAACTCTTCGTATCAAACCTTGATAAATTGTTGCACACATCATTGATACTTCTGATATAGGCTAATAAACACGTGTTGTTACCTGTGTTGTTACAGTTTTGTTAACAATTTTTAGGTTGATAAAAAAAAAGAAAGAAGAAGCAGAAACAGTTGTTCTTCTGTCTCTCCTCTCTCTAACTTTTTAAATTCAGATCCAAACCATGTTCAGATAAAGAAAACAGGGAAGCTACAGGATTGACAAATCACACTCTGAATATAAGCGTGTCTTATTTAGCATAGTTTGTTATACATACTGATTAATAGGCTACATGTTTTGTTTTTTTTTTTCTCCAGGGCCAGTGACCATCAAAGTTAAAGAAGACGGTAATGTTATTTTACCCTGTTCCCTCAGCACCAAGGAGAACATTGAGTCAGAGCTCTTTGACTGGAAGAAAGATGGTCAGAAGGAAGTTTTCCTGTATGTTGAAGGCGTTCATTCCAATAACGGCCTTCCAGGTCAAGATGAGCAGTTTAAAGGTCGTGTCTCACATTTTGAACATGGATTGCAGTACGGCGATGCCTCCCTAATCATCAAAAATACGAAGGTGTCTGATAGTGGAAACTACACCTGTAATTTTCCAGATCTTCAGCAAAGACAAATATTCTTCATTCAGCTTGTTGTTGGTGAGTGTTTTCATTAAACAGTTAAAGATTTATTTACCGATGTGACTGGTTTAAGAGAATATTTACCGTTTCTGTTGCATTTGTAACACATTTACATTTACACATCTGGCAGATGCTTTTATCCAAAGCGACTTACATTTGAGGAACAACATACAAGCATCAACAGAGCATCAACTACAGATCTACAACTGACAATACTTACTAGTAAGAGCAGCAATAAATACTAGTAAGAGCTCACAGTACATATCACATCAATGGGGTAAATATCTAGGGAAGGAAGCAAGAGTTAACAAGAAGTGCAATCAAAACAAGATCATTGTAGGGGATAGAAGAAGAAGAGCACAGGAAGTGCATGTTAGATGTTAGGAGTTAGAGGTGTTATTAGAGGAAGTGTTCTCGGAAGAGATGAGTTTTCAAGAGCTTCTTGAAGTTAGAGAGGGACGCCCCTGCTCTGATGGCGTGTGGTAGCTCGTTCCACCATCGTGGTGTCACAGATGAGAATAGCCGGGACTGGGATTGCTTTGTGTGAAGGGACACAAACCTGATGGAAAGTAACTCCTTTTATCACCGAGACAATCAGATTTCAGCAACAAATATCAGTCCAAGTTGGGAAGGGCAACTCGTATCCCCCCTCAATATTGAAAGTATTAGTTTGGCTCAGTCTGACAGACAAAATAGGTGCGTTTGACTTCAAGTGGTGCTTTGCAGCGCTGTCTTAACGTAATGCATGCTGGACTTAACACAAGCCATGCTGGTTAGAAATTGTGTCCGACTTTTGCCGCACTGCAAAACTCTGACATGTGTTTTGTTTTGTCTTGTCTTTTAGGTCGTGTCTTAAAGGACAGATCAGGAGGAAACATCTCAGGTGAGTCCTGATTTGGATGGCATCACTTTTGAATTTGGCTCCAGAGACCTGATATCAGTCAAAAACACTAAAGCCAAATATCAATGTATCCCTAAACCCGAAGCCCTGAACCCTCAAAGACTTAACTGATGTCACCTTTTAAGTTATTTAGTGCAAGGGCTCAACAAACTATAAATAGGAACGGGACACCACTTTGCCACATTATCAAGTTGCCTTTTTATTGTAATTTTTTTTTACTTACTTACCTACCCTCGTAGGTGAAGAGCTGATTGCGGTAAACTCGGGGCACCTGGGCCCATTGTCCTGTATTGTAGGCTATTTGTAACTCTTTCTTCGGGAAGCTGATGCTGTGCTGAGGAGGCAGACCTCCCTGTAGACTGATTCCCTTCTGGTTCTTTCCCCAAGTTCCACCTTTGGTTTGGTTTCTCTGACTGTTTTTGTTGTATTTATTTTGTTTCTTTCATACTAACACACCCTCACACACACCCATCCATCATCCTGCGCAGACACTACTGAAACCACAGGTGTTCATACTTCAGAAACTTTATTAACGTTAATTTAGCACAATTATTAATTTGGCTTAATTTGGCTTAAATTTGCATATTTTGTTAAATGTTGGTGGTCTCCCTTTGTGGCCACTTCAGGTCATAACAAATGGGGGCTCGTCTAAAGTTTATTGCAGTTTGGTGCATCAGGGTGCGTAATGTCACTGAACTGCTGATTAGTCATTTAGTCAGCTGTGTGCTGATCTCTTGCTTAGGGAGATACATTGTTGTGTTTTTAGGAAGCGTATGTGCCTGATTGATGTTGGGGTTTTTTGTGCTGATCAGAGGGTAAGTGTTCCTGTTTTTGTATCCAAGAGGAATTTCCTCTTTCATTGTGTTGGTTGTGTTTTCACAACAATCTGTCTCTGTGGCACATCCTTGTGATGTTGTGGGGTCTGCATGCAGTTTACTTCAGAAATCCGTTTATCATGCAGAAATACCCACCACAAGCCGCATGAATACTAGTGGTGAGTTTCAGTTAGTTTTTCTTTAAACAGGGTGAAGTGTTGTTGTGGGAATTTCCAACATTACTGTCTGGTTGGTGAGTTGTAGTTAATATAGCTAACCCCCAGCCAGACAATGGTGAAGCGTACTGATGTTTCCAGAATCCTTTATTTATTTTGAGCCTTCAACCTTGTTTTGAACACAAATCTAGTTTCTCTTTCCTTACACCCTTTCTTCATGAAACACCGGAAGAGCTATAGGACAGATAAACAACATAAAATTAGCAGCTTACGAACAGCTGCTCATAAAAACCTTTTCTGAGACGTTACCTTTGTCAATATTAACTAAATGGCTTATGTTAGCATGACTTCAGATGACATAACAATACGAAAACACTTCTTCACAGTTGAATAGATTAAACTACATATTTTTGCCAAAGTGGTGCAGGTAATATCCAATACAAGGTGAGTACATACAGTAAAAAAATAAAATCCACAACAGGCCACAGTTGAACACACACACACACACACACACAGGAACAGGAACAGGACACTAAACATACGACAACTGGACGGAGACTTAACGGGAATGAGGGCCTATATATCATGTGTGCTTTCACATCCAAGTTAACCACCGACATAGAAAAAGACTGTTATGTGTACCACAATACCAGCGTGCCGGCTGTGGCTTTTATGAACCAATGTTCATAATAAGGCAGTGTGAAAGCGCCTACTGACACACGCGCCCTGATAACACAAGGGGTGCACATACTTTTAAAGACCTGTTCCATTTATTTATTTTTTTACTTTAGTTTAACAGAAAATATTGTCGACATATCAGACAACAAATTTCATGTGATGTAATTTCAAGATTATCCAAATGTCTTTTCTGTGCTTCTGTCATGATATGAGTGAGAAACAGTGTTTTCTACTGTAAATAATTTCCATACTTTTGTTAGAAGTTAGAAATGTTTAAAATACTCATCATCTGAAATGTGCAACAGGTGCAGCTCCAAAGCCATACGTCACCACACTGGATCAAACAGAGAACCGCGCTGTGCTGCAGTGTGAAGTTCGAGGTGCTTTTCCGAAACCTAAAGTGGAGTGGAAGAACAGTGCTGGAAACAAACTTCCTGCTGAGGAGCCACAGGTCTCAGAAAGAGGAGGCAGCTTCTACATCATCCTCCAAACTACTGTGATGAAGACCGACCGCTATCGCTGTGTAGCCACACAGGAGGAGATCAGCCATCAGATTCATACTGAGACCTTCATATACATCCATGGTAAGATTCTTCCTAGCTGTGTTTTTTAACATTGTAATAATTTTAATATTACAACAGACATGTTTATGTGTCAGACTGAACACAAAGCAGGTTAGGATTAAGACATCTGCACAAGTTGAAAATGAGATGAGAGGAGGAATGAGAGGGTCTGCAGGGAAATAACAGAAAGAACTGGAGTTTGTAGGAAACTCTGAGATCAGTCTGATCAAACACAGGAACACAAGAATTTAGTAAACTTCACTCACAAACCCAGTAACAGATTTATAAATGGCTGCTGCAGCCTGATCCTGAGGATTTAGAAATTTGCATTAATCCAGACATTTGAAGAAGCAAAAGCTGATGAGAGATCTTCCAATTGAATTGTGATATGTTATTCACAAATGTCTGTGGAGAGATCTGAAACTGTATGTGATGTGTGTTCTCAAATCTGTGAATGTGTTAAAGAATGTCTAAATATTATTTACAGCCTTTTATTAAAGAGTTGAAGTGTATTTAGCTTTAAGAGTTGGAACTTCAAGAGACTCGTGCTGCATAAATCCAGACTGTGTGTCGCTCCTCTCCCATTGTGACTAAATAACTTCATTACTGAAGTAAAAGTAGCGACACCAAAATGTAAACATACAATATGGCAAGTAAAAGTCGATTTGAGCAAAAGATAGAAGTATCAGATAAATTTACCTACTTAGTAGCAAACATTTTGTATGTAAGATCAAAGTAACTGGTATCTATATCTGTCTGATGAATGTTGCATTAAGTAGCTACAGTACATCAGGTGCACGGGAAGACATTTTCGCTTAGGGGTGCTGCACAGTAGTAATGCGCGCAGGACACAACTGTTTGTGGGCACGCACTTACACACTGGCCATAAGATCAATGCTAACATCACTGTTCCTGCTGAGACTCATCCCAGTGCTGTTTGGATCTGCTGACAGTTTTAGCTTCTAGATTTCAGGAGCGTGCACACCTTTAGATGTTCTTTGTGTCGGCTGTGATGTTCAACCTGCTGTTTATGATGTGCAGCTACGTTCTGACTGTTACTGTAATCACTTTTTCTGCTCTGTTTCAGGGTTCCCCATTGGATTTGTTGTTGTTGTGGTTATTGTTGTTGCCCTTTTAATTGGTGGTTGGAGTTATATTATTCTTAAGCATTAAGCGTTTTGTTGGTTTTTACACCAGGGTAGGATCAAGGAGGAAGGGATTTCAGGATTTCCTTCAATAGTGACAAAATATAGTCTTAGAGATGTTAGTGATAAATCTTAATGATTTGGGTTTTTTTTATTTGTACTAAAAAAAGCCACATCCAAATAAAGGATTAAAAGCTAAAGGACATCAACGGACCACAGAATGCAGGATTGGTTTGTCTCAGTGCATTGAGTTGGTCAGCCGCCCAGTAATCAGACGGCCCCACGCTGGCTGCAGGTTGTTGTGTTCACGGCCACTGGTGTTTGGTACGCTGTGCGACCAGTCGATCGGCTCGGCCAGGGTATTATTCTGGGGGTCTGCTCTAATCGGCTGGCAGGTGAAGAAAACTCTTGCAGTAAACGGCAGGTAACCCTGGCTTAGTTCGTGGGTGATGTCCTCTGTGTTACAGCTGGCGTAACTAACCACGTGGCTGGGCTCCGACTCCTATAGCTGATTATAGACAGTTCAAATCGAGAAGCCGGAGCCTTTGTTGTTGAAGTCGGTTGCTAGCCAAAAAGCTCAAGGAAGAATGGAGAACGAGGGAGAGAGGCGTTCTTTCTACAGCTATAAGTGATGCCACTATTTTGAGTTTGACACAGTCTTAAGATGCAAAGAACATTGTTGTCTTTTTAGGAAGGGGCTGGGTGGGGTGTAGGGAACATATCGTTACATAATGAGTAACATAACTAATTACTTTTAATACCAAGTAATAAGTAATTACTTTTTAAAGGAGTAATAAGTAAAAGGTTACTAATAACAATTCCTGAGTAACTTGCCCAGCTTTGCTTTACAGTGGAGCATTTACTTTATTTTTACTTTGTTTGCTTGAGTATAGGATCTCCTCCACCACTAGTATTATGACATGTTCTTTGTACAGTACCAGTCCCTATTTCACAAGTCAAAACATCAGTGAAAGCGACAGCGTAGTGAAAGTGACGCTTTAAGTGTTGCTGCAGTTGAGCTTCCTGAAGCTGACAAATCAAAAGTGCAGTGACACAGCCAGGAGTTATTCAATAGCCATTAGTGGTGTTACTGTGATGTTTAATCTTCAGAAGAATTCAACAGCTGTGAAGCTTCTTCCTTTTGCTTGTGTTTGTCTCCTGACTCGGTCTGGAAAAACGTTTGCTGATGAACACGGTAAGAAAACTAATTTGTCTCCTCAGACTAATAATCAGTTTCCTAAAAAATTTAAAAGTTGTGTGTTAAAACATAAACAACAACAACACAGGTAATGTAAATAATTGCAGCATCCTTGTGACCTGCACAAGATGTTTTGTTATGTATGTTGTGACACATCACGGACATTTCTGATTAGATACAAGCTCTTTTCACTAATAGCATGTTACTCTTTTGTTAACAGATTTGTTGAATAGGAAATAAGATAAATGAGAAGCAGAAACACTTGTTCCTCTTTCTCTGTTCTGTCTGATCCAAAGCACATGACCATGTTCGGATACAGAAAACTGGAAAACCAGGGGACTGACAAAGAAGAATGTCATTCTCGTTTTTTTTCCCTCAGTGAGGTTGTATTTTATCAGCTGTTTGTGTGTTTGCAGGAGATAAAGACTCAATTTTGACATTTAGTTCTGTGTTTTCAATGTTGCTCTCTCTTGTTTTCTCTTTCTTCCTTTTCCTTCTTATTAGTTAGCTGAAGGTGCAGACAGACAGTCTGAGTCAGTGCTGTTCGTCATCATCAGGGAAAAAGAGAGAGAATTAAGTGTTATTTAATATTAATGCTGAGGTTGCTTTTAAGTTAGGGAAAATAAAGTTTAGAAAAAAGAAATATAAGATAAAAACTCCAGAAATAAAATTTAAATATAGGCTATGTAAGAAAGTAAAATATAGTTAAGATATCTGGAGGACAAAGTGCTTGACAAGGTCAAAGTACAAGAAAAGTTTCCTGTAGGCTCGTTCTAACAACAGACTTCTATATGTCTGTTTTAATGGTGATTTGTCCTCTGAATAAATCAGACAAAACAAACAAATAATTAAATAAAGGAAAAACAAAGTCAAACCACTAAGACACCTATAAGGAATGATTCTTACACAGGGAAAAATAAATCCATAATTCAGGCGAGCATTTAGCATTTATGCAGGTTATTTCCATTTTAAGCATCGTCTGCAGCCTCTCTTGCCCCGGTAAAAAACACGAACCTTACAGCTACGTTCTGACTGTTACATTCACTTTTTATCATCTGTTTCAGGGTCATCCTATGGATTGATTGTTGCTGTTGCAGTTCTTGTTTCTTTTTTATTTATTAGTTTTTGTTGCTGCTAAACTATAAGAAAGGTAAGTTTAAATAATTAATAGGATCAACATATTCATGATGAGCAGACAACACAACAAGTTATTTATCTATGGGTCATGTTTAGAGTCTTGACAGCTGTTTTATCTTCTCATGCATTAAACATTATGTTAGTATTTACACCAGGGTAGGATCAAGGCAGGAGGGATTATCTTTAATATAACTTTGTTTTCCTTCCTGCAGGTTCATTGATTTAAAGAACCCACTGATTCAGTGCAGCTACCTGATACAGAAACTTAACTAGCTTTAAGTGCTGCGAGGTTAGCTGCTGAAGTGTGTGTGTGTTGTATTTCTATTTTGTGACAATCAGTTTGAATTTTAGGATGATGGGAAAGAAAATCTGGCAGGTCCTCACTTATTTGTTTTAGGGTTATGACATAGTTTACTACTATTTACTACTACATTGCCAGTCCTAAATTATGAATACCCTTGCCAAAATTTTAAGTATTGTGAATTGTCATTCTACCAATTGGTTTCATCTGCAAATGACATAAACAAGTGGCAAAGACAGTAAGACATAGACTTAGAGATGTTAATGATAAATCTTAGCTATTTGTTTTTTTTTTATTTGTACTAAAAAAGCCATGTCCACAATGATTCATACCCCTTAAAATTGAGAAATTGTATGTTTCTACACTATTGCAAATGGTCTACCATGAGAGAGCACTCTAATTACCTATAAATCACTTATAATTAAGAACATCTTAAATATTAGTTCTCTAGTCGGTTAGTCTACTCTAAGTCATGGCTAAAACTTACCCAAAGAACTTACTGAGGACGTCCGGTTGTGCATTGTGGCTGCTCACAACACAGGGAAAGGCTATAAAAGACATGTCCAAGTGTTTTCAGGTGCCAGTGGCCACTGTGAAATGCATAATAAAAAGTACAAGGAGTTCCACACTGTAAAAAAACTCAAAGGGCATAGTAGGAAGACAAAAGTGACCCCTGAGCTGGCAACAATGGTAGTGCGAGGGGCCAAGTTAAATCCAAGGATTACCACTAAGGCCATCCTGATGAATGTGGAATTCTGCAAGACATAAAAGCTCATATAGCCTTTGCAGAAGCTCACCTGGACATAGAAGAATGCTTTTGGTAATCAATTCTGTGGTCGGATGAGACAAAGATTGAGTTGTTTGGACACAGGGACATGGCTTTTGTTTGGCGAAAAAAAGATGAAGCATTCAACCCCAAGAACACAATCCCCACAGTCAACCATGGGAATGGTGGGAATGTAATTCTTTGGGGGTGCTTTGCAGCCAGTGGTCCAGGCAACTTTGTCAAAGTAAATGGCATCATGAAAAAGAGGACTACAATGACATTTTTAAGGAAAACTTCAGGTCGTCTGCAGAAAACTTGGCCTTGGGCAGCATTGGATCTTCCAACAAGACAATGTTTCTAAACATACAGCCTGAGTGTTCAAGAATTGATTAACAGACAACAATATTAATATTTTGGAGTCCAGACCCGAATCCCACCGAGAATCTGTAGAGGGAACTAAAGACCCGAGTGACGGCAAGGAGACATTCCAACCTCAAAGTTAATCGCAAAAGAGGAGGGATCCAAAATCCCAGTGGAGACATGCAAAAAGCTTGTTAGCAATTATAAGTACTGTTGTGATGGTAAGTAAAGGCTTTGCCATTGATTATTGAGACTTTGGAAGGGGATATGAATAAATTTGGACATGGCAAAAAACATAAAAATACTTCCATCTGCAGTTAAATACGACCGTAGCCATAAATAAAATGAAAACAGAATTTAAAGTGGTCTAGTTTTTGCAGTTTTTTATGTTAAAAACTTAATTCAGTAAGATTTATTTTATATAAGTTGCTAAACTGGTCTGTCATAGTTAAACACTCAACTGTTGTTGACTGAACGTTGAAATTTGCACCTGAAAGTAGTTGGTTAATCTATGGTTTTATTCTTATCCATGATGAATTTAAGGTCTGTTGCAGAATATAATGGCACCCAAGAAACAGATAAAAGAACAAAATACATATTTTTAAAAACATGTTAAGACCCTTTATTCACATTAACATCTTCATTAATAGTCCAGTCTGTTGACATTTGTTGATGTAATAATAAATTAAGCATCATAAAATACGCTATCATCACAAATAGTTACACCTAATTTCTTCACCTAAAGAAAGAAGACACCTTCAGGAATTCAGAAATGCATTATACACTATATGGACAAAAGTACTGGGACCTGTTCTAATATGTTTGGGAGGGGCTGTTTTTCATGTTGTGGTCTTTGGTCAGGATTGATCAAGACAATGTCTGCTTTTCTCCTAACAGTTTCTCTGTGTGAAACTGGGCTGTGTGTGAGACCTTCTGTGTAGAAGAACACAGAACAGGAATTAACATTAGATCCTAATCAATCCTGTGAGAGTTAAATAATCATATAAGTTATACTGCTGTGCCTCGTAAATGCTCACAGCGTCTCTCGTAATGGGGAGACGCTACACCCAATTTCACCCACCTGCTATTAAAGGGATAGTAAATGATTGTAATACAATACACTTGATAAATTTAGGGAATATTTCCTCAAGGTTTGCTAGCTCTTTGTTTTGTAAGTGCTATGAAACAATATTTGGTTTTGCTACACAGCTCTGGCTCTGTAAATGGTAAACAAAGAAAGTGGTGTAGACCTTGCCCAGAACATTGTTCGAGCCAATCAGTAACAGCTGGGTGGAGGTAGGCAGAGGAAGAGAGAGTTCTATACACTGTCACATTTGAAAGTGCTAGACTCTAGGCACTGTGAAGAAGAAGAAATGGCCGAGAGAGGAAAAGGCCTGAAGAGTATAAACAGAGAAGCCGCTGTGGTGTTCACACTATGTGACTGATCGGTGACAGGATGTCACACACTACACAAGCTGACAGTGGCTATGTCACCCGACGCTGGACTCCAAACCACGTTTTGTCAAGAAAACACACGTGAAATGTGAAACGGGAAATGACGCAAACCTACAGACAAAACAGCTGTTGTTTGCCAGAACAAACAACGTTCTTGCGCTTTTATTTTCATATCACTTAAGAGGAAGTGGTTATGTGAGTAACTGTTGCTGTCATGACTGAGATCTATTTCAGCACCAGCCTATATCAATTTATTTGTTTATTATTTTTCTGCTATCAAAGCAATCTTCCCGCAGGCCAGACATTATTGCTGGTGAGCCAGTTCTGTATGGTGGCATTAGCATAACAGCTAGGTGGTTGCCAGTGTGGGGAAGGTAGGCTGCTCTGTGAGAGTATTTGATGTTTGTGTGCATCAGGTCTAATGTGTTCTCGCCTCTTGTTGCAAAATCTAGTTCTATCACCATGATAGAACTTTGGAAGGGTAGACTTTACAC